AGATACCGCCTTGACAGGAAGGTAAAAGGGCGCCTTATGCTTTGGGCCAGCCGGCAGAAAGATCAGAGATGTCTACGGAGAGCAGGCTCCTCGGCATGGAAAATGGAACAAGAGCACCTCCCCATGGCTGGAGTTGAGAATTACCTCCAGACACCAGAGAAAAGGGGAAGGCCTTTACCTTATCTGTGTATTGTATGTCATTGTTTGTCATGTACAAAGGCATTGAATGTTTGCCTTATATATGTACTCTAATCTACTCTGATTCCCTCCAGGGAGATAAACCAGAATATATATAAAGTGTATTATTGTTAACTAATTGCACTGACAACACTGGTCATCCATCAGATCTAACGCACACTATAATACTAGGGTGATTTTTTTAAAGTTTTAATCCAGTTCAGACTTCTGACCACAAATTAGAACTTCCTAAAAATTATAACTCAGTTAAAACATTTTGGAAAACCTGGGTCTCTATCTGGTAAATATCTGGTAAACAGAAATGTTGAGAGAAACAGTAAATGGTGAATGTCTTTAAACAACTGTTCTAATAGATTCCTGTACTATCCTGGTACAAAAGATTGTTGTTATCAGTCATACATAACAAGATTTCATATTCAGAACAGAGCAACATAGTATCAGGAATAACACAGAAAGAAATAAATGCAAAAGCTTATCATTGAGAAGCACAGATCAAATTTTGTTTAGGTTTTTCTAAGAAAACTACACATTTTTGTGTAGCCTATTTTGTATAATCTTTGCCAGGGTAATGTTTTCCATGAGTTAATGAAGCTTATGAAGATATTGTATTTTCTGGCATATAAGACTACTTTTTAACTGAGAAAAATCTTCTCAAAAGTCGGGGGTTGTCTTATATGCCGGGTGTTGTCTTATAGAGCGGGTGCTGAAATTTCCACGCTGGACTGGAGAATCTGCGGTTGCCACATATGATGTGGCAACCATATGAAAGCAGCAAGGGCAGCGCTATACAAGTACAAGAGAAGAAAATCAACTCACCAGGATTCGTGGAAAGAAGTGACTTAATGCGGTCCCAACGACAAGATGAGGGAGTGCCTGATTGAGAAGGTGAAAGTGAAGGGCAGAGCAAGCTGCAGGCGCCTGGGATGCCCGGAGTATGGAAAAAAGAGATAGAGCGGTACTGTGCCCAGAAAAACACACTTCTTTCACCCGTCTTGTCTGCCCTTGTAATCTATTACCATCCCTCCTTCTCTGCCTCTCAGATCTCGCTCCTGAGGACTGAAGTGAAGCGGCGCAGGCGCGCATGTGTGAGATCTGAGAGGCAAAGAAGGAGGTATGGTAATAAGAAAATTATCATATTGAAATCAAACCTGATGTTTTTTAAATTTTTATTTGGTGTGTGTTGGAAGAGGGGTATTCTTATATGGTGAGTATATCCCAAACTCTATATTTTAACTGGAAAAGTTGGGGGTCGTCTTATACGCCCCGTCGCCTTATACTCCAGAAAATACAGTACTTTAAGATCTCAAATGCAGGAACTGTCTTAACATCAGGCAAATGAGATGCAGATATGTATAGGATCTTACTGCTAGTACAACAGTTGGAAGTTAGAAATAATAATAATAATAACTTTATTCTTATATTTTATTCCCACAACCATCTCCCCAAAGGGACTCGGGGAGGCTTACATGGGACCAAATGTCCATAAGACAATAAACAAATCAATCCATGAAAATATAAACCCTTATTTCAATTTGGTAATAGAGAGTAAAGAAAAGTCCCTTCAGTTACTTGATGAAGGCTAAGAAGGTTGATTCTGCAAGAATACCAAACCCAGATTTTTTCTGTATTACTGCTTCATACAGCAACTTGGCTTATCCTATATACTTAAAATATTTTAGTACAGGGACAATTCTTCAATCACACATTTCTTCCAGAACTCGTAGTCCTCAATGTTCAACACTACAATTTTTGCACCTCCAAGACTGGAAGGGAAGGCTGTTGTCATTGAGTGCAGCTCTTAACCAAGCCAAAGAAGAAAGGACAAGAACATTCGTGACCGTATCACATTATTCCAGCTTGATCTATTATTAAATGAAAAGCTTTCCGTCATGGCCAATATTTTGGGGATGCCAATATTCATTCCTTTCATCAGCAAAAGATTTGCAGATGGAGACATCTGGAAATAGATATGGATTTAAATCATTCTTCATTTTTTTACATGTGGCAGGATTCCAATGACCTAAAGAAGTCTTCCTGCAACTCCTATCTGCCTAGCCACACCAGAAACTCAAGGAGTATATTCTAAAGAAAGAGGCTTTCTTGGTCCCTTAAATTGTTTCAAACTTTTTATTTTGTGTGGAAAGGAGAAGAAAGATTCATGCCAATGGGAAAACTTCCTTTAATAAATCCTACCATACCAGAAAATATTCCCTCTCACCATGAGTATGCACCTTGGGGTTATTTTATTTTTTAAATGCACTGATTTGAGTTACCGTATATACTCGAGTATAAGCCAACCCAAATATAAGCCGAGGCACCTAATTTTACCACAAAAAACTGAGAAAACATATAGCCTCGAGTATAATCAAATGAAGCAGCTACTAGTAAATTTCAAAATAAAAATAGATACCAATAAAATTACATTAATTGAGGCATCAGTAGGTTTAATGTTTTTGAATAATTACATAAAACTGTAATTTAAGACAGACAGTCCAACTTCGATTAAACCATTGTTCTAACCTTCTTCAATGTAAATGTGCTTACGTATCCTTCCAAACTAGAGTAAAATAATAAATGTAATAAAAATAATAAGAGTAAAAGAATGTAAATGTAATAACAACAACAACAACAGAGTAAAATAATAAACAACTTTGACTGGAGTATAAGCCGAGGGGGGCTTTTTCAGCCTTAAAAAGGGCTGAAAAACTTGCCTTATACTCGAGTATATACACTATTTTGAACTGTTTGTAGCCTGCAGTACTACCTTTAGTCACAGGTGGCAGACATCTACAACCAGTAAGGAAGGTAGATTAAGTTAGATAAGGGATAGCCCTTCTCACAAAAGCAGTCAGTTAACTCTTGTGTCATGTGTCCTTCTACATGGTCCACAAACTCTTAAAATCATTTAAAGAGGAAATTAAAATATAATGCTGCTTGGGAAAGTGAGGCTGGGACAGTGAGTACAGGGAAGAGTTGAACAATACTAGTGAGGAGGAAAGAATGACCAGTGAAAAAGAAATAGAGCAGATGAAGTGGGAGAGATGAGCAAGAACGGAGGAGAAAAGAAACACTAGCGTAGTGCTTGTGAGGCTGGATGCTTCTGCTTGTCATATAAATAACTATGAAGTGGGATTTATTTATTTATTTATTTATTTATTTATTTATTTATTTATTTATTATTCGAACTTATATGCCACCACTCCCCTGGGGCTCGGAGCGGCTTACAAGAATGACTAAAATCTAACACAATTTAAAACAATTTAAAAACAATTTAAAAACAGCAATATCAAAGATCAAAGGCCTGTTGAAACAGGTATGTCTTACATGCCCTGCGGAAAGCTAATAAGTCCCGCAAGGCACGGACTTCAGGTGGCAGAGTATTCCAGAGTGATGGTGCCACTGCTGTAAAGGCTCTGCGTCTGGTTGCTGTTAGACGCAAGGTCTTGACACTGGGAATTTCCAATAGATCTTGGTCCTCAGAACGGAGGGATCTCTGGGGTTGGTAGGGGGTGAGGCGGTCCCTCAGGTACATCGGCCCCAGACCATGCAAGGCCTTAAAGGTAAGTACCATCACTTTGAAAGTGATCCGGTGCTCAATTGGTAACCAATGCAGCTGTAGTAAGATTGATGTTATGTGGCATCTCATCGGAATTCCCTCAAGAAGCCGAGCAGCTGCATTTTGTACCAACTTGAGCTTCCGGATCACCGACAGAGGAAGGCCAATGTAGAGGGCGTTACAGTAGTCCAGTCTTGAGATGACCATAGCCTGGATCACCGTAGCTAGGTCGTCCCTGGACAGGTAGGGGGCCAGCCGTCTAGCCTGCCGCAGATGAAAAAAAGCGGTTCTGCTAACGGCGGAGACCTGGGCCTCCATCGTCAGCAGAGGGTCCAAAAGGACTCCCAGACTCTTTACCAATGATGACAGACGTAGCGCCTCGCCATCCAGGGTAGGCAGCTGGATATCCCCCACTGCCCAGTCAACCCAACCATAGGATCTCCATCTTTGCTGGATTCACCCTCAACCTGCTGGCACGGAGCCATCCAGTAAGGGCCTCGAGGCACTGATGGAAACAATCGGGTACAGAGTCGGGTCGGCCTTCCATCTTCAGCACCAGCTGAGTGTCATCAGCGTGCTGATAACACTCAAGCCCAAAACCTCAGACCAGCTGAGCAAGTGGTCGCATATAGATGTTAAACAACAGAGGGGAGAGAATGGGCCCCTGAGGAACCCCACAAGATAGAGGGGACCTCTCAGAGACCAGGCCTTCCCTCTCCACTCGCTGTCCACGGTTGTGAAGAAAGGAGGACAGCCAATTTAAAGCTGTCCCCTGACTCCAACAGCAGCAAGGCGGTGGGTCAAAAGATTGTGGTCGACTGTGTCAAATGCTGCTGTAAGATCCAATAACACAAGCAGCGCTGACCCACCCTGGTCAAGCTGGCATCGAAGGGATGATAGAAGGCCTATTATTTTATGTTAAGAAACACAGTTTTATATCAAACATCCATCATCAAGATAGGTTGATTTGTTTGCTTTGTATGACATTAGAATCATAGAGTTGGAAGAGACCTCGTGGGCCATCCAATCCAATCTCCTGCCAAGAAGCAGGAAAATCTCATTCAAAGCACTCCCGACAGATGGTCATCCAGCCACTGCCTAAAAACCTCCAAAGAAGGAGCCTCTACCACTTCACTTGTATCATTGCAGTGAAATGATGTAAATCACATTGTAATGTAGGTTACTCTTACCTTTTTACCCTATTATAGGAGAAAGTAGAGGACAACAAGCTCTTTGAATACTCTACCTAATATCAGAAAGATCACATTTATTTCCAGCAATGGCCATTACAATGTTTTCAGGTCCATGTTCTTTTAATTCTTTTACCCATTTCTTCAGTGTATGAAATGAATCCTAAAAGAAATACGAGACAACAACAAAGAACTTAGTAAATGCATGTAATTTAAAAACATTAATGGTTTATATGTCAAAAACAAATAACAATGCATATATTATTTAAAAACAGATTTTTCATAGGTTTCCCCAGCTAACAGGCACACTCCTAAATACATCTCTTAGTCCCTCTACAGATAACATGCTGATGCCATTCTTTCCATTGGAAATTCCACGTGGCTCCTGAGAATGGGCTACGACAGTAAAAGCAGCATTTTTACATAGGTTTTTGAGCAATAATACCTGACTTCAGAGATCCCACATTTAGCTAAGGAAGTGGTTCTCAACCTGTGGGTCCCCAGGTTTTTTGCCTATAACTCCCAGAAATCCCAGTCAGTTTACCAGTAGGTAGGATTTCTGGGAAATGAAGGCCAAAACATCTGGGGACCCACAGGTTGAGAACCACTGAGGTAGGGCTTCTCTGGAGGGCTAGTTTACTGTGACACAACTATATGTAAATATGTTCTCAGGATGCACTTGCACTTTTAGCAATCAGGGAACCTATGTTTATGCAAAAAAGAAGCACTTCATGCGCTTATAAATGCAAAGGAACTGTTTAACCTCAGCAAATAATAATTAATATCCACAAATGGAAAAAACTAGACTACAGCATCCATAAAGAATGGGCAAAACTGTTTTGTTATAAGCTATGTACTAGTAATGGAACCATTGCAATCATATAGCTTACCTGTTTGGTGATATCATATACTATGACAGCTGCTGCTGATCCACGGTAATACATTGGTGCCAATGAATGAAACTATTGGAAATTGAACACAAAAAGAGAATAAGACAGCAATTAAATGTCTTATAATTCCACGTGTCAATAAAAAAAACATTAGATCTTTTAGTCAGTGCCATGTGACCATTAGTTCATTAATTTAATCTCTATTAAAAAGCAAATGTAATGATTCTATTACTAGTCCCAACAGATCCATAGAGTCAATGGGAACAATAAATCATCACCTGCAAAAGTTTCATTGATTGGCTCTATTCTAGTTGGCCTAACTATTTGATTAAGCCCTTAATTTACTAATGTAGAACAATTAAATGTATTTCTTTGAGTTTACATACACTGCCACATACAATTCCATGACAATTTTGTTCTGCCTTAGACATGGACCAAATGGGAAAATGAAAAGCAAAATGCGTGAGATACTTTTAAAGTAACAGTTTTTATAAATAGACCATGTATCATGTACCTCTTTTTTCTCATTATTCTTATATGATATGACAGAGTGCAAATACTAAAACTCTGTTTTTATTGCAATTATTTAAATGTGATTTCTAGAATATGCTTTCATAAAATAATCAAGATTTTGGATTTATATAAAAATGAACTCAATAGATACACTTTGCCCTCCACATTAATTGGGGTTTGAGGTAGAGAACCCCCACAAATAGGGAAAATGATCACTACTGAGTTCCCAAACACACACACATCTGCTGGTTCTACAAAGCCTTGTGCCATCCCTGAAAATATTTGTAGTTTTCAGTCAGCAACTGTTGCACTACAGGACAGGAATAAACCTCTGGTTTTAAACACCACACGTTGAATAGGAAAGAACAATCCTTTTATTGAAGATAAGAAAAAAGCATCTAAGTAAAAAAAAAACACTTAAAAGGAATAGGGTAATCCAATTAGGTAAGAAGATAAGCAAGAGCATATTAATCCAAGGTAGAGTTCAGCAAAGTCCATAAAACAAAGTCCACACTTCTCTAATATAATCCAGAAAAACAGGAATACATTGAACCAAGGCTTGGATGGGCAATCAATAAATCCAAGAATCAAAAACCATGAGACGAGAAATCTCTTAACATGAATCTTCAAAGTAGAGCTTCCATGAAACAAGGACAAGAACTTGGCGTGATTCTAAACGATGCTTCATCTGACTACACATCCCAAAGCTGAGACTTTTATTGCCTCGTTAGCTAGGTCACTAGCAGTCAGAAACTGGTTTCTCTTTAATTGAGGCTTTATTATTGTTTTCTGTCAAAGCTGGGCGAATTGGCGAAGCCACTGTTCAGCCCTCCTGTTTTGGCTAATCTCTTCTCATCTATCTCTTGGCTCATTATCTACTTGCTCATTAATTTCTGCAAGTACTGAGCTAATTTTCTGTTCTCTCTCATGGGAACCCTCTGGTAACAATTCAAGCACACTATCATCCCCACACCCCTCAGGGACATTCTCCTGGGAAATTACAAGGATCTCCTGATCATTTTCTGCATCAATATCCCTGACCAAACCATTGCCGTCTTGAAACTCATCTTGAACCTCATTGACCCTGATCCTGAAACACAATCACAGGCTGAGCTCTAACAGCAACCATCCCTCCATGAACCCACAGACTTCATTGGGGATGGAAGGGTGGATAGCTGCACTGCCTCCAAGGTTAAGGGGAGTGGAATAGCAATGATTCAAGACTAAGACATCCCCCAGTAGACTTCAATCAGGGACAGATGATGAGACTGCCACTGCATTGCCAATATGGATGCAGTTAGTGGGGTAGTGATGTTTTCAGTCACCATTAATCAACCACTGAAGTCGGCTGGTTTGTAGACTTGGTGGGGGAATGGTTAGCAACTGAAATGTCATGATTCCATTCTCTGAAGATCCAATGGGTAGGACAACAGCAATCTTGCCATTCTCTCTCCCCATCCCCAAAATGAAGTTTGCTGGTACACAGACTTCGATGGAGGGGTTGATGGCAACTGAAATTTTCCCTGGCCATCCCCTGAAACCATAGCAGATATTCACATAATCAACACTGTGAATGCCAATCTTGCAAATATGGAGGGCTGAAGGTAGTTAATTTCTGGCAAGATTGATAATATTTCCTTCAAATTTCCTTCACTACCACATTGTGTGTTCCATGTTCCTTCTTGTTTTCCTTAATCAGTTTTCACCCATAGATAGTTTCCAACTATTGTCTATAGTAGGCATGGGCATACTTTGACCCTCCAGTTGTTTTGGACTTCAGCTTCCACAATTCCTAACATGTGGAAGTTGAAGTCCAAAACACTGGAGGGCCAAAGTTTGCCCATGCCTGGTCTATAGTATATTGAGAGTATTTTGTAGTCAATTTCTCCTGTTTCTGACAAGCAATTCTCTAAACACCCATACTCCATCCAACAAACATGGGGTTATTTTGCTAAGAAACCCAAAACAAATTAATTTTCAAACTCTTTAAAACTTGCTAAAGATACCAGGTGCCACAGGTTATATTTTAGAAAAAGGGACTGATTAACACCACTTCCAAGTATACCTCACGTGAGAAAGGCCTAAGAAATCCATGGGGTTCGCCATAAGTTGGCAGGCAACTTGAAGACATATACACACACACAAAGACGAATGCGCTTACATTTTGGGCTGGAGACAAAAAAGGAGATTTCCATGGCAGAGAGATATAAGCCAAAGAAGGTTTGAGGAAACTTTGCTTTTGAAATGTCACATATATTTATTTTTCCAACTGCAACATCTGGGTAAACATAAATACTCAGCTTCAAACTTTCAAGAGGAACAAAAATACTTCTGGTTATGAATGGAACAGAGTTAATTGCTTTTAATTCTTGGCATCTGGAATTTAATACAGTGCAAATGCACATGATTTCATGTGATTTCTTAACAGAAACGGTCTTTTGATTTAAGATTAAGAAAATACTGTACTTGACAATGAGCATATTATTAAAAACTGTAATTCCGGGCATGCTGTGGGTGATGAAAACTGTATTAAGACATTTCCTTTTCAAACGCATGACGTTTTTCACAATATGTCTTTGTAAAGAATACACTGCGGAAAAAACAAAAACATGCACTCGTTTTGCTCTTTTGACATTATAGTATATAGAAGACAAGATTAAAGACTTTTTTCTTTAAAATCAGGAACTCTGTATGCTATTATTACTATTACTATGATTATTGCAAACTCATGGTCCTGAAGAAGCAGCAGCACTAAAGACAGGAAACCCATGATGATGAGGCATACCCAAGACATGAAAGGGAAACCTTTGAGAAGTGGTTCTCAGTCTTTGCTCATCCAGATGTTATGGGCTTCAAACTTCTATAAATCCTTGTTAGCAGTCAAAGGTCAAGAATTCTGGCAAATGGAAGTCCCAAACAACTGGAGAACCACTGGTTTAGAAGAGACACCAGTTAGAAAGCTAGGTAATACTCTTTGTCTCTGACAAACGGAACAGCAAAGATTGTCTACAGACCAAGATCTTTATGGAAAGGTTGGAGAACAGGCAGTTAAGACAGAACATGGCGACTGTCTTCTAATGTGTGGAAGAGTGTTGCACAAATAAGTGGGAAATATATATTGTAGTTGGTGAATTCGATATCTTTGAGGATGTAAAAATGCTCTGTGCAATTGGCCCTCTACTTTTGAATGAATTAAAAGCACAGCTCCCTCTTAAAAATGGAAAAACTATGAATATCTTGGGGGAGCTGGATGGGGCACTGTTGCTGCAGTTTCTAGAATAAGAGAAAGAGGAGGGGCGGGCCGTATGTGCTACCATGACTTCACCTACCCTCTGGATCCTGTCTCCTTTTTTCTTCCTGTGTGTTGCATATGTCTGTTTTGCTTTGGCAAAGAAGAGAAAGGAAACAAACACTTACAGCACATGGGAAGAAGGGTAAGTGTAGGTCCCACATGGCACTGCCGCTTCACTTATTCTGCAGATCCCGGTTCCTTTTTCTCTAGGGTGTCACGTGTGTCTGTTTCTCCCAGTATCTCCCTCTCAATAACTAAATAGGTGGCTACACTCAGGATCTCATTTAATGGTTTCCTTGGCACCTGGGTCATGTTTGTAAAAACATCCCTTTATATCAGTGGTTCCCAACCTGTGGTCCATGGACCATCAGCGGTCTGCAAGAACTAAAATATGGTCCACAGCCTCATCATTATTAAACCATTGCACCAAGAGCGACTAGTCTCATGAAACCCTCTTATAGTGCCAAGGCTTATTAAATATGATTTTCTGTGAGTGAGCAGATGGCGACTACTAGATGGCATATGTTCTGTATCGGAAACTAGAGCGAATGTGGTCTATCCAATGCAATTTTCTAAATCAGCACCCCAAATAACCAAACCAAATCTAAAGTTGACCAAAAACTGATTTGCAACCCTTTTGGTACTAATGTTGGAGAGTGGTCCCTGGTCAAAGTGGTCCCTGGTAAAAAAAAAAAGTTGGGAACCATTGCTTTATATTCTTAATCCACAAACAGAGAGGCTATATTTGACTGGTTATTTGAGGCTTCTGGATCTACACCCCATGTTATCTGAGAACTTTCATTAGCCAGTTATAAAAACCACTGGGATGCTCTTTAGGCACTTGGGATGGCTGTTCTAATTTTGCTCCAATTGGTTGAGTGGGTCCCAGTTGCCTTATGCCCTCGAGTTTAGCAGTTTCCATTACTTCTGGAGTGATTTTTCTAGTTTCCTCCTTGTATTCCTACTTAGGATCTGTAGAAGGAATGCCCAATAGGTAAGTAAATAAATAAATAAACAGCTGCAAGATCTTTGATGCCTTTGACAAGAGCAAAACAAAAAACAAAACAAAAAACACTGTTTTTCTCAGCTGCAATCTATATAAACAAAAATGTAATGTTCGTTTGTGGGATTAACATAACTCAAAAACCACTGGATGAATTGATACCAAATTTGGACACAATACACCTATCAGACCAATGAGTGACCATCACTCATAAAAACACTGAAAAACATAGCGGAAGAGACTTAAAAGCCAAAAAAGCAAAAAGATGCTACAGTGCATGCGCAAAAATGACTCCCCTGGCAAACAAAATGCACAATAGGATATCCGCACTCTCTTCTGGTCTACAGCTTCCAGAATCCCCTAGACCAGGCCCTTTAGGAAAGGAGGATGATCCGAATGCACTGCTTCCAAGCTGCAAGGTTTCTTCTCCTTGGATTTCTTTGAGAGCATCCCAATCCCTGCATATTGCCAATTACCTATTCCTGAACTACAACACCCAGCAATCCTCCAGATAGATAGATTAGAGTATAGGTAGGTAGATTGATCAGGAGGACTGCTGGGAGTTGCAGTCCAAGAATAGGTAGAGAAGGAAGAAAGAGGAGAAAGAGGAAGGGAAAGAAAAGGTGGGGGAGAAGGAAGGGAAGAAGAAGAGAAGGAAGGATGGAGACAAAGAAAGAAAGAAGGAGAAAGGAAGAAGAGAAAGAGGGAGGGAAGGTTGGCCACAGCAACGTGTGGCGGGTACAGCTAGTAGTAAAATAAAACAGAAACACTATTTTGTGCATAAGTCAACATTTCATACAAAGCCGCCTTTGCACCGTCAAAAAACATTTAAAAATTAGCAAGATGCTTGTAATTAGCACAGTGAGAAATTGAAAAAAAAATCCATTCTTATGAATGAGAACAAATTAAGACAACATTAACCTCCTTCCTAAAAGTTCACCAATCAAAGAAGAAGTTAACAAAGAATCTAAAAGGATGGCTGACTGAGGCAGAATGGCAGAGTCTTCACTCACACTGATATCATATTCAGGGATAGTAATGGAGGACCAAGAGGGTAGTGAGATAGTAGGGTAGCAAGACCGGTCCAATAGTGCTGCAAGTTCAACTCAGGACTTTTATGCTTTTGGGACAAAAGGATAAAAGTCCTGGGTTACATTCTTTACCACAAAATAGCAAGCCTGATGGTACATATATTTGGTTTGAAGCCTGGGGCTCCTTCTCCTGTTCTAGGTCAAAAAGTAACTGTTTATGTCCCTTCCTTCAACCTGGTGTATGTACAAAAAGACTCACGGCATTCCCGGTTCATGCAGAAGGAGCTATGAATTGTTAGCAATGAAATGGACAGCAAACTAAAATGATCAAGGCAGTTCAGGGTCAAAGCACAGGGGGAAGTCTTACAGAGGTCAGAAACCAAAAAGGGATAAATAGAAGAAGACCCCAAAGAATGTGCCAGAATTCAGGAGCTAAAGGAGTAAGTACTGTAGATAACCTACTTCAAAAGATATGTAAAATATATGTGTTAGATCGCAGATGAATGTGCTAAATATTAAAACATTGCAGGAAAAGAAGAAAAAAACACTTTCTATATACAGCAATATTTCAAATGCATTGAAGTGAACAACTTTAAATATTAGTAATCAACATATTCTCAGATGTAGATAAACCCAAGCATAAACATCTGGGTTTATGTATTTACATTAACCCATAGACTTCACAAATATAGAATTGTTCTGTGCCTGCAAGGAACACACATGGTTATTTCATAGAGAGAACAAAAACTCTGCTACAAGACATTATGTATCAAAGGCCAGAATAAATCAATGTGGGTTTTACCACAGCTTTCAACGGGGCTCTTCCTCTTCAAGGAACCATGAATTATTTAAAAGCACTTTAATTTCCATTGCTTACTAACTAGATTTCAGGAACATTGTACAACTAAGCCTTGAATGTCTCTCTGTGCCTTATTCAAACATGCTAAAATGATAAACAACAACAACATTCTCACAAAGTCATAGTTAGGGAGAGAAATAAAAATAAACAGCCCCAAGGTGTGCAACTTGTTCCAAAGACGTGAAAGATATCTGACCATGATTATATATGTACATTGTACAGGTGCTGGACCTACTTATTTGTTGATCAGGAATAATTGTAAATTTCAATCATTTCAGATACCACAGAGCTTAATATGTTTGTTTTTTAAAAATAATAATGGGAGGCTGTTTAAGAGGAAGATCTTTGTCCAAGAAAAGGGATATGCCTGAAAAGATGCCGCTGGAAGCATGCTCCCTACTAAAGCCAGTATTTCCCTTTTTCTTTTACCATGATACAAACCACATGGTCTATCACTCATATGTGGTCCTGTCCATTTTAACAGCCAAACCTTTGCTGCTACTTATTGGGTTGAGAAAAACAATGCACTGATGAAATACCTGCACAGGTAAAAGGTGAAAAAATCATGGAAAGATATGATACAGGGTCTTTTTACTACTGCACTCCAGTTGTAAAATAGTCTTTCCTTGTAGGCCTGATCAGTGCTGAGTTCATTGTGGCAGCAAGTTAAAACAGAGTATTTTTTTTCTATTATTAAACCCTTTGGGACACCACACAATTACTTCAAAATGAAGATGGATATGATTTTAAACAGTTTTAACATTTGACCTGTTTTCATTTATTTAATGTTTTTTTCTGCTTATTAATTTTTTCTTATTTTCAATTCTAAATTGGCTTAAAGAGTTTAAATTTATTGTACTTGTATGCCACTCTGAGAATTTAGGATGGATTTTTTTAAAAAATAGTAACAAGACAAAAACACTCCTAAGCTTGTCTGCTAGATTCTTTTAGTAAATACCAAATCTAGCTCCTTCATGATCTGGAAATGCAACTACATCACAAGTGTATCTCAAACTTTACCCCTATTTTCAAAAAGAAGAATACATTTTAAAAGGGCCTCTTGCTGTAGTTACCGTATATACTCAAGTATAAGCCGAGATACCTAGTTTTACCGCCTAATTTTACCACAAAAAACTGGGAAAACATATTGACTCGAGTATAAGCTGAGAGTGGGAAATGTAGCAGCTACTGGTAAATTTAAAAATAAAAATAGACACCAATAAAATTACATTAATTGAGGCATCAGTACAAGGTGGCCAGACTTCCCTAACTTTCTCTGGACCATTTTGCCTTACTGTTCGTCCTGTTTGATAAGGAGAATGCAGCAGTGAAGCCTGTTTCCTTGCTGAAGGAAGACATGGAAAAGCTCCTCTAGGCCCAGTGTTTCTATTAGGAACTTTATGAGATCAAGGAAACCGTCACAAAGCTAATGCAATTTATCTGATTTATTTACCTTTTAAGGCAACAAATATGGCACATTAAGACAGGATCATATTTCAGCTAAAAGACAGCCGAACCATACTCACCCGCTCTTGGCCTGCTGTATCCCAGATCAGAAATTTATGAAGCTCATTTCCACAAGGCACAGTCTTAGTCATGAAAGAAGCACTGAAAATTGCAAGAGAGGCAGCATATTATTTAGATGCAAAGTTGCTTATTATTAACAAAAAAATCTCTAAGGGAAAATATTTATCTGTTTCAAGACACAAGGTTTGTCGGTTTTAACACCAAAACTTCCTAAGGGAAGGTAAATAATTTCTTCTTAAGTTGCTTTGAAGTAACATATGAAGATTTAATTATTCTAATTTACTGGTAATCTGGAAAGTTTAATTAGGTACATCAAGGATCTGTAAACAAACAGTAATGTTTTTAATTGGAAAAAAGGTTATTTGGGGTTTTCTGAGTCGTGCTGGAAAGCCAAAGAGAACGACAGCCCAGAAGCAGATGTTTCTCTATATCAGTGGTTTTCAACTTGTGGGTCCTCAGATGTTTTGGCCTTCAACTTCCAGAAATCCCAACAGGTGGTAAATTTGTTGGGATTTCTGGGAGTTGTAGGCCAAAACATACAGGGTGAGAAGCACTGCTCTACACCATGGCCTAAATTCCTATCATAAATGTGAAAAAAACTTGAAATATATAAAAGCATGGCTTTCAGAAGCAAAGATGTTATCACTTTCAGTATATACACTGTTTCTCAGACATTCGAAGGACACCAGGAAACCAGAAAAAAGCTACATATTTCAGGTTTTCCGTCAGCTGGAGCACTCTTAGCAATTTCGCTGCAGGAACCAGGGAATAAATCCACCAAGGCGCCCTCTCCAAGTGACTGAAACCACCAAGACCAGGTCAACAGGAAGGGAGCAGTTTGGCTGGATATAATTAGATCTCACTTCATTTCCAGTATCACCCTGTTAGTAAGTTCTTCAGATGGTCAGGAATTCACCAAGCTAGTAATTTGGATAACCACAAACAAAAGGTGGTAAGACACAAAGTTGTTAACCACAACCTCTCTAAAGACCAAAGCAAAGAGCACTGTGGTTTGCAGAGTTAGAATAGTTGCAAGCAACAAAGACATCAGGGAAATATTGAGAGATTTACAGGTATCTGCCTCAGAATGCCAGGTATTTGATGTCTCTTTGACAGATGCTTTTACTCAGTGTCGGGGTCCATCATATAAACTTATGACAATCATACAGTATGACCCCCATATCTGTGGGACTGTTATCTGAAGTTTCATTTATCCACCTCTAATAAAATATGTCATTTCTAGGTATTTTCTAGGGCCTTTGGTGTAACCATATGGTATTCTTCAGTAAGGATCTCTATTTCAACAGGGTTCATTATTATCCATCGTTTCGCTTATCCACATGAAATCTAGGAATGTACCCCTAATAGATACAGGGGTCATGGTGTATATTTAAAAATGGGTCAGTATCCTCTGAATTGTACAAATGCAGTATGTGTGTACTTGCTCTTGCTACTAGAGGCGTTTGCTTCCAGGAATACTTAGTTTATCCCCCCCCCCCCCTCCAAGTAGCAAGTTACGAATCTGGATTATAAGCACTGAACTGCCAGACCTCATTTAAAAAAAAGTGGGTTTTGAATTTTTCTAGGTTTAATCAGGTTTGGATTGGCCTCTTCATAAGAACAAACAAAATTATAAGACTGCGATCATTTTCCTCTAATTGCTCCTGAGAAATTTATCCTCAAGTGATATTAAACTTGAACAGCAGGCATACAACAGGAACTGACTAAAATGATATTTCATCACCTATGGGGTTTTATTGCTTAATTTTTCTAGGTTTCAGATCCAGAGCACTTTGAATGATCAAGCATTTGTAATTAAGTGTGCCCCCACTCTGTGTATATCTGTGAGCGCGTGTGTGTTTTGTGTGTGGTGAGATGTCAAGTGTTCCTCAAACCTACTTTCAAACTACTCAAATTAATGAGCTCTGTACTGAACACAAAGATTAAAATAACAAAAGAAGAGAACTGATCTCATGGGCATTTTGAGCTTCCGGTACTTATCTCCGGTACTTCACACTGTGGAGCTGTTTAAAGGTTTGACAAGGAATGTCGACTACAATCCTAGAGATATATATTTGGGAATATGTCCCCATTACATTCAAAAGAGATTTGCTTATAAGGAAAACATATATAGAAGAAGAAGACAGGAAAGCATAGAGAAGACAATTATGCTGGGAAAAATGGAAGGAAAAAGGAAGAGGGGCCGACCAAGGGCAAGATGGATGGATGGTATCCTTGAAGTGACTGGCTTGACCTTGAAAGAGCTGGGGGTGGTGACGGCCAACAGGGAGCTCTGGCGTGGGCTGGTCCATGAAGAGTTGGAAGCGACTGAACGAATGAACAATGACAATATAGAAGAAGCGGTCTTATGTTAGAACACCTTCAGTCATGACAGTTGCTTGAACTGTAAATCCGATCATCACTTTGTGCAGATGAGACAAACAAACATATTATAAACTGATTTTGAAAAACTATGGTTGATAATTAAGAAAATTCCCACAATGCAAAATCAAATCTTTTCTTCTTTCCCTTTTTCATTTTAAATTTGCATATTTAATAGAACTGCATTTTCTGTAAAGATGTTTTTGTTTTAAACAGTGTCATCTCCAGATAACATGTTTATTGGTATCTATTTTTATTTTGAAATTTACCAGTAGCTGCTGCATTTCCCACCCTCGGCTTATACACAAGTCAATCCGTTTTCCCAGTTTTTTGTGGTAAAATTAGGTGCCTCGGCTTATATTCGGGTTGGTTTGTTCTTGAATATATACAGTTGTTAACTAAATTCACTGTATTTAACTTTACTGGAGTGTACAAATATACACAGTAATGAAAATGAACAAAATCTTACTACCAGTATTTAAAAAAACTCTAAAATTACAACAGCACAACAACAGAGAGGAAACAAACAAGGACGTCTAATCACCTCTCAACAAAAGTTTACTCCAGGCACTGCCAGGCCATTATATGCTAATCAAGGTGGTCAGTTGAAACATTCACACCTAGCTCCAGCAGACAAGAGTCCTTTGTCCCACCCTAGTCATTCCACAGATATATAAACCCATTTTCCTAGTTCCAACAGACCTCACTACCTCTGAGGATGCTTGCCATAGATGCAGGCGAAACGTCAGGAGAGAGAATGCCTCTAGACCATGGCCATATAGCCCGAAAAACCCTACAACAACCCAGTGATTCCAGCCATGAAAGCGTTTGACAATACATTATACACAGTAATACTTACCCAATAGTGGGGCTAATATTGTGGTCAAAATGATCTTGAACAAATCGACAAACTATACTTGATTTCCCAACACCAGTATCCTGAAAATACAGAAAGAAAGAATCAGTTAATCAGTCTTGTTTTTAAAATTTGTCTATGTTAATTTAGAGAAATGCCTGATGAGGAGGCATAAGTGCTATTCTGTCCACAGAGAACTCCCAGCAGCAAAAAGCTCACCATGAGAAAAGGATGGGGGCAAAACTTGTTATGGGGTGGACATTCGCAGGATCCTAACTCTCTTTTGCTCCCTTAAAATGTTCCCAAACACAACCTGAATTTATAACAGTCCTGGAGCTGAATGGTGTTAAATCCCTCCCACCAGGAACAAAAGGAAAATAAAACTACCCCACCCCGCACCCCATCCCATTTACAACAAATCGATGGGATTTCAGATGTGATTCAAAGTCTTCCCTATCAGCATTACAAGTCTGCTCGTTTAACAGCTTTCATCATGAAGTAGTAACAGCAAATGTACACTCATGGCATGCCGTTTTACTGAAATGGTAGTAAATAATTAGTAGTAAAGAGTCCTATAGTGTTAATGTTTTAAACCATCCCATTCCAGTCAATAATTGTGGCAGGATGTTGCTGTATGTATTTTATGAAAAAGAAGTCCTTTGTAGCCATGTTTGGGCAATGCAATCATTTCCCACTTGAACTGTATGATTAAAAATATGAATTGCAGATACCTTAGATGAAATTGTCCATATATAAAATGACTTAGAGAGAGGGTTTTTATAGGCTTTTGCTGTAGATCAAACTGCGTGTTGCCTCCATTATCACCTTTGTTCGCCACAAGATGGAAAATATTTAATTCCCTCAAGAGTTTTAAGAACAATGTTCGTTCTGCCAACTTTGTGATATTATTTCTATTCCATATTTCTCTCAAAACGAGATTCAAGGCAGTTCTTATACTTGATTTTTATTTTATTTTGTAAGATCCACAGTGGCGCAGTGGGTTAAACCCTTGTGCCGGCTGAACTGCAGGCCTGAAGGTTGGAGGTTCGAATCCATGAGACAGGGTGAGCTCCCATCTGTCAGCTCCAGCTTCACATGAAGCCTCCCACACAATGGTAAAATATCCGGGCGTCCCCTGGGCAACGTCTCTACAAACTGCAAATTCTCTCACACCAGAAGTGACTTGCAGTTTCTCAAGTCACTTCTGACACGATAAAAAATATTTTATGTGTTGTCATTATTCTGTCGCCGCTAGAGCCAAAATTAAATGCTTCTAAAAGAGGATGTAAGGCTTGCGTCCAGCGGGAAGCCCGGGGGCCCAAGAAAGAACCTTTAGAGGATTTTCTCCTATTAAACAGGCTTTAGGAGACTTAAACTTAAATACAACAGTCTTTATTAAGGAACAAGCAGGAATTGTAAAATTTCTAAATAGTCTATTGGCTTTTGCAGTCTTGTTTGCAGGAAACAGGCACTATCTTTAAGAATCTTTGTTCAACAGAAAAAATCCCCTTTAAAGCTCCTCCCAGGCTGCTGTGAACTTAAACCTGACTGGTTTGAGTCTGCTACTGGCTGAACTGCGTCTCAGAACCAAACAAACGTACCAGCGGGCTTGAAATCACCTAGCTGAAGATGAAGAGCTGTTATTCCCTCCGGAGGTCCCCAGGGCTGTAAAGCTGTTCCCTGGAACCCTTTGGGAATCTGTAGAGGCCTTCAATCTGTTCTTCCCCAGGAAGTCTTAAAAGACGAAGCTTTTGGACAGGAGGAATGTCTGTATGCATCCTCTGCCTTGGCTTCTCTTGCTGTAACTAACTGAAAAAATGGCCCTTTCCCGCCAAAAAGCAAAAAGGGGGCGGGACCAGGGATCCTAACTATAATTGGCAGGTGGCTTACCCTATGGTTGCAGCCTATAACAGGAAGCCACCCTGCTGCAAAATCCCAAGCCTGGGATTGCAAACAAACATTTAAACACAGCAAATAAATCTGGAGCTCCTGGAACTGTTCCAGAACAGTCATGCTTCATTCTCTGTTAAAGGTTTCATCACAATTTTATATTGTTATATCTTTAATGCATTTTATGTTTTAACAGATTCTACACACCATGCAGATAAGTCTGATTTAGAAGTACAATAAATAAATACAGAAATGAATTAATCACTTAATACCCACGACACCCATTTGTTTGCTTTAATTAATGATACTTATTGTTTCCATGATAAGACTTCTTAAATTCATTTGAGTTCCAAGTCATGATTTTGTACAGCAAACGGTCCACAGACTACAGCATAATGATTTCAAATTGTTTCTCTTCCCCACTTTACAAGGATTATTTTTCATTTTCACAAAAACAATTCAAGGCTTTGATAATATAGAATCATAGAATCATAGAATCAAAGAGTTGGAAGAGACCTCATGGGCCATCCAGTCCAACCCCCTGCCAAGAAGCAGGAATATTGCATTCAAATCACCCCTGACAGATAGCCATCCAGCCTCTGCTTAAAAGCTTCCAAAGAAGGAGCCTCCACCACACTCCGGGGCAGAGAGTTCCACTGCTGAACGGCTCTCACAGTCAGGAAGTTCTTCCTCATGTTCAGATGGAATCTCCTCTCTTGTAGTTTGAAGCCATTGTTCCGCGTCCTAGTCTCCAAGGAAGCCGAAAACAAGCTTGCTCCCTCCTCCCTGTGGCTTCCTCTCACATATTTATACATGGCTATCATATCTCCTCTCAGCCTTCTCTTCTTCAGGCTAAACATGCCCAGTTCCCTAAGCCTCTCCTCATAGGGCTTGTTCTCCAGACCCTTGATCATTTTAGTCGCCTCCTCTGGACACATTCCAGCTTGTCAATATCTCTCTTGAATTGTGGTGCCCAGAATTGGACACAATATTCCAGATGTGGTCTAACCAAAGCAGAATAGAGGGGTAGCATTACTTCCTTAGATCTAGACACTATGCTCCTATTGATGCAGGCCAAAATCCCATTGGCTTTTTTTGCCGCCGCATCACATTGTTTGCTCATGTTTAACTTGTTGTCCACGAGGACTCCAAGATCTTTTTCACACGTACTGCTCTCGAGCCAGGCATTGTCCCCCATTCTGTATCTTTGCATTTCATTTTTTCTGCCAAAGTGGAGTATCTTGCATTTGTCACTGTTGAACTTCATTTTGTTAGTTTTGGCCCATCTCTCTAATCTGTCAAGATCGTTTTGAATCTTGCTCCTGTCCTCTGGAGTATTGGCTATCCCTCCCAATTTGGTGTCGTCTGCAAACTTGATGATCCTGCCTTCTAGCCCTTCATCTAAGTCATTAATAAAGATGTTGAACAGGACCGGGCCCAGGACGGAACCCTGCGGCACTCCACTTGTCACTTCTTTCCAAGATGAAGAGGAAGCATTAGTGAGCACTCTCTGTGTTCGTCCACTTAACCAATTACAGATCCGCCTCACCGTAGTTTTGCCTAGCCCACATTGGACTAGTTTCCTTGCCAGAAGGTCATGGGGGACCTTGTCGAAGGCCTTACTGAAATCCAGGTACGCTACATCCACGGCATTCCCTGCATCTACCCAGCTTGTAGCTCTATCGAAGAAAGAGATCAGATTAGTCTGGCATGACTTGTTTTTGATAAATCCATGTTGACTATTAGCGATGACTGCATTTGTTTCTAAGTGTTTGCAGACCGCTTCCTTAACAATCTTTTCCAGAATCTTGCCCGGTATCGACGTGAGGCTGACCGGACGGTGGTTGTTTGGGTCATCCTTTTTTCCCTTCTTGAAGATTGGGACCACATTGGCCCTCCTCCAATCTGCTGGAACTTCTCCCGTTCTCCAAGAACTCTCAAAGATGGTTGCCAATGGTTCCGAAATGACTTCCGCTAGTTCCTTCAATACTCTGGGGTGTAGTTGATCTGGCCCTGGGGACTTGAACTCATTAAGAGCGGCCGGTACCTGATGACTTCTTTCTTGC